TTTGTGTTTACTCTTTAAATTTATAAAAACTCTCATCATAAGCCCTTCATCTTAATTCTTTTCTTCTTTATGCTGTCAAAATGCAATTATTTCTAAGAGAAGAAGATGAAATCAATAGGATTTTGAGAGAGAATTTTCAAAACTGAATTGAAAAATATTTTTAAAATCTCTTTCCTAGAGCTTAAAATGGGCATAACTCTCTTCTATTATAGGGTTTTTGTTTTAAGAAGTAAGAGGGAAAAGACAAAAAATGAAAAAATCTTGCGAGAATAAAGCTTGTGTTATTTGAGTAATCAGCACCTCGCTTTGAGTAGAGGAACAAGTCTTGTAAGTTTTCTAATTCTGTGATAAACAACTAACGGGGTTTAAGTTTTTATCTAAGTTCTTTGCCAAGAACTAGAAAAGGTTAAGTTCTAGGTGTTGAAGCTATGTCATTATAGTTTGTGATTTGCTTTTGCCTTGTAAGCCTTTTTGCCCTTGAAAAGAGTATGATAGTGGAGAGTCCCTCAAGAGAGCTCCTTCAGGAGGAGTGGATGTAGGCAATGATAAGAGCCAAAACCACTTATAAAATTGATTTGCGTTTGTTTTGCTCCCTCTTTCATCTATTGATTATTATATTCTCACAGCAACTCACTTGAATTATCTTATTTATGCTTGATGAATCAACTCTGTTGTTTGTGGCTGTACTGAATTATTTGACTTTTTTAGATTGCTTAACTTAGTTATTGAATTGCAGTATCTCTGCAGACTAAAATTTCATGTGAGCTAATATTCAGTAATTGTATTCTGCTATTTGTTCTAATCTTTATGTAAATCAAATTGAAATGTTTTAAACGTGGCTTTATGCATTATTATTATCTTAATTTTAAGTTGGTATATTTTATTGCTTCTTGCTGTGGAATTGTTATATTCTTAAAAAAGGATTAATTTTTTTAAAATATCAATTCACCGCGGACCCTGGATTATTTGCCTATTGGGAATGCTAACCACAGTTAAATTTGACGCAGTTTTTTTGAAAGCTTTAAACAAGAATTAAAAAAAAAATTGAATTAATCTTAATTTTAGAAAAAAAAAAGTAAAGGGTTAATTACTCAATTAATGCTTGTTTGATTGAGTTAGAAATTCAGTGGTAAATATCCAAAACAACGGTAAGGGGCTTTTGACAAAAATATTGGTTTCTCCCATAAAATTATTGCGCCAATCTAATGTCATTTCAAAACTATTTACCAATGCCAATGTTTGTTGCCCTGATTAAAGTGAGGGTTGTTTTGCACTAAAACCACCAAATGGAGTTGGTAGGTGTTTTTAATGCAAACAGAGGAAAGTTAACTTCATATTGAGAAGCAAGTCAGGCAAAAAGTAGGTTATATGAATAAACAATAATCTTTTAATTTTGTATTGAGAACGCGACCAATCTAATTGGTGGTTTCAATACAATGAAAATTTTTAAAGGTTGTTCAATTTTGCCTTTTTCAAACTAAAACTATGCAGCAATGTCGTGTTGGTGGTTTTAAGTGGCAACTATGGGAAGTGACCACTTATCCAAGCAAAAAGTACATGGGCGGGAAATAGTATTCTTATGTAATGGTCCACCAGATTAAATTAGTGGTTTCGATTTTTTAAAAAAATTTAGCTTATTTCAATACAAAATGAAAATTTTAAGTTGTCAATTTGCCTTTTCACTAAAACACACAATTCGTTTGGTGGTTTTAGTGCAACTATGGGAAGTGACCACTTACAAGCAAAAAGTACATGGCGAAATAGTATTTTATTAATGGTCCACCAGATTAATTAGTGGTTTCAATAAAAAAATACTTATTCACTCAAATATTTTTTCACCAAAACAAACATATAATCTGGTGGTTTTGGTGCAATACATTTGATATGTGCAACGAACTAGACGTTGGATTTCATTTCAAGGTGCAAAAATTAGAGCTGTGGTAATTATTCAATATCTTTTTATCTTATCTTATAATTTCTTAATCTAATTGAATAATAAATTTTGCTCTTATTTGCATAGTATTTTTTTAATACATGTGAATGGCCTCCAATATATATATATCACAGTTCAACATCACCAACATGTAGAAATCCATCATTCCGTCGAAGATTATTTAGCCTATTCAGTGCAATGAATGAAGAAATTCATACCGAAACTCATCCTATGCTTCAACCTACCCCTCCATCGCGCTAATATGCCAACACATTATCTTTTGCACCACAACCTAAATGGAGTGTGCCATCTGCAGCATTAGAAATGCCGTTGCATTCATTACACTCCGATGATGGCAACCTAGTAAACCCATACTTCTTTTTCCAAAATAGGCGACGCAACGTCGTTTTGATATACAGTACCTGCTTTCAATACTTCTGTGGTGTATTTCGGCACACGTGATGAATTTACATCTCATGCTAGACACTCATTTAATGATTTCTTTGAGATGATGATGGTACCCGAGCAAAAGACTCATCTGACATTTTCTAGCCCACAACAACCACAAAAACCACTAGATCATACGCGTGTTTTGATGAAAAAATATTTTGAGTAGACAATTATTTTTTTATTAAAACCACTAATTAATTTAGTGGACTCTTAACAACACACTATTTTCCTATGTACTTTTTGCTGACTAATTGTCGCATCCTATAGTTGCACTAAAACCACCAAACGAATTGTGTGTTTTAGTGAAAAAGCAAATTGACAACTTAAAATTTTCATTTTGTATTGAAACCACCAATTAGATTGATGGTCTCAATACAAAATAAAAATTATTGTTTATTCATATAACTATTTTTTGTTGGCTGCTTGTTAGTACGAGTTACTTTTTCTATTGCATTGAAACCACCAACTCAATTGGTGGTTTTAGTGCAACACTCTCTCTCTATGTCAAGACGAACATTAGATTGATAAATAATTTTAAATGGCTTAAGATTGGGAAATAATTTTATGAAGAGCATTATTTTTGTGAAAAGTCCAAGGTAAAGTTGGAATAAAATAATTAATGTTATTTTAATTTTTTAATATTCTGATTGGTATAAATAGATTCAAAATCTAGAATGCATTTTATAAATGAATTTTTCATTACTAAAATACTCTTAATATAATAATTTTAGAAGGTTAGGAGCATGAAGAGTTTTGTAATAAATTTTTTGGTTGTTTAAGTTTGTAGAATTCATTTGGAAATTCCACTTTATTTTTGTATAATTTGGTTTTTTTTTTTTTGACTGAAATTTGGTTTAATTATATTCAAGTCTATAAAATTAAATTTGTAGAATTGAATTCTTCATTTTTCTTGTCACACCAAATATAAAAATTTGAATTTATAAATGAATTTCATAAATTCATTCGTTACAAACAAATGATAAATGTATTGTCTAAAAAAAAAAGTCATAAAAAACTATCAAATTTAACAAAATGTACGGAGTATTATATCAAAGTACATATTGCTGGAAAGGGGAGCAAACAAAGTAAAATTCGTGAAGGATGGTTAGCTGCCTCAAACCAGCGTCTTACTTATTTGGATTCTGGTTGAAGGTGTACTGTTATACTAGCCTCAAATATTAAATTAGTCAAAATCATGTTTCAAAATTTGATCTTGGGTGCTTCAGGTTCACTATTTTGACTCTGCAAGCTGTCAAGGACAGAAAAATTTATTTGACATCCTCAACGTGCCTGATTACGATTGCAATTATGTTTGCAAGACGAGGACTAATGCAGGAGGTCGAAAATTTGATCAGATAGAAAGTTGATAATTTTTTTTAATTTAAAATTTAACTTGAGCATTTGAAAAAGGAAAATGAAAAATGGCAAAAAAAAAAATAATAATAATAATGAATCAACTACATAACATGGCATAAATCTACTTATCATTTTGTAAGACATTTCGATTAGGTCCCACCATTGTGGCACCTAATTTTATACCTAATTGGGTCTAACTTTGCATATTTAAAGCAAAGATTTCTTGAAAGAAAAAATGAAAAGAAACTATACCAATTTAGGCTTAACGGTCATATCATATGATCCACTCGTATGGGCTGCAAGTGGGCCCAAGTTTAGCAAATGGAAATTCGCTAAACGATAAATACGTTCTATTGACAAATAATTATGATATTTAATAAAATAATTTTATAAATTAAAGCGTTTAACCAAAAAAAAATTTTGAGAGCAGCGATGAACTTTTCTAACTAGATGAAGTAACTATAAAATACCTGAAAAAACTCAAACCCAAAAGTACAACTTATTTTTGGTTGAGCATTTGATTGTCGTTTCTTCAAATCAACTTCTCAATGTATCCATAGATGTGGCAAAAGCAGGAACGAGAGGTTAGAAAGGTCCCCATTGGTAACATGCACCGCAACTCATGACCACTCAAAATTATTCAAATTATCTTGCTATGCAAATTATTACTATGATATGATGACCCACCACAAAAAAACACATGGAGTGGAAAAAGAAACAAATAGAAAAGATTTTTGTAACTCAAGTCACAATGATCACAGTCTATCATTCGAAATTTGAAAAAGTTGTGCTCTAGTTGTTATGATATTAAGTTTTCATTTTTGAATTTCCTTCGCCTTTTAAGAAAAATAAATTATTTTATTAATGTTGTATTTCAAAAGAGAATTTTACTTTTACAATTTTTTTCAAATTCATAAAAAAACCTTAATGGATTGAAATAATACTGCGGACTATACAATAGAATAGCTCTTTTCTTAATTCATTAAATTAGTAAAAACTCTTTTAATCGAAAGGAAAAATCACAATAAAAATAGCTTGTTCCGTAGCTCATAATAGATAGGCCGAAATACAATTTTAGTTTTTCCCCTCCTTTTCAGAAAAGAAAAAATAAAAATAAAAATAAAAATAAAAACAAATATACCAATAAAGAAGGAAAAACCAAAAACAAAAAAAAAAAAATCAAATCAAATCATTATGTCACAGCATTACAATCTGTACCGCGAAGCAGCAGAAAATAAACTAAATGGAAAATTAGAAATACAGAAGAAGGGGGTGGGGGCTTCATTAATGCAGTAGCGGTTCCCGCGAGGGAAACTCGGATCAAACAACGCGCCTCTTTCATCTCCTTTTTTGTTTTTGATTTTGGAAGGAAATTGAATCCCTCCTTTTGTTTTTATTGCAAAAGGAAAAGAAAGGAAACGAACGGAAAGTTATGGAGGCAGCCATGGGATTGTTGAGAAGAATCCATCCAAGGCAAACGGAGACCGCTCTTTCCGCTCTCCTCAGCCTCCTTCCTCACCACTCCTCCGATCTCCTCTCTCAAGTCGATCAGCCGCTCCAGGTATTTTTTTTTTTTACATTTTTAAACTACATTTTTTTTTTGTTGGGGATATGGTCTGTTAATTGGTGCCTAGGCTGTATGTTTGGTTCAATTGTTTTCTATTTGTCTTTTTTCATTTAGGTTTTGTCATTATTTATGTTTGTTTGGTTGCTGAGAAAATGGAGAAAATGTGAAGAAGATAGGACTTGGTGGAAAATTTTGAAACTGCTTTAATGTGCTCGTGTAAGTTCAGAAGAAAGGAGAGCTAATATGCGTAGAAATTTGGAGAAGGAAAAATTTTATGAAAACTATTAATTCAGTTTAACTAAGAAGGTAAAATGAAGTTGGCAGAAAGAATTTTCATTTGTGAAATCTTGATTTTGGAAAAAAATCGTACAGAATTGGATCCATTTTCTTATACTGGATCTTAACATGGAAAAAAAAAAATAGTCCAATTGGAAGATTGCATTCAGTCTCAAAACTATAGTTGTCTTCCTGAGAAATATTGAGGATTGAAACCTCCAATTTCACTCCTTTTCAGTTTATAGACACTCTAAGAAATGATAAATTTGAATTCTTATCTATTTCCTTCAATGAATGATTTACTTCGTGTTCTTGGAGAGTATGTTCTGGTGATACAAACTTAGGACTCTCCATACCTCAAAAAGACAATGATATGAATTAGTTTTACTATTTATAGTGCTTTAAGTATGGTGTTTGGTTTTCTATTGAGAAACACTATATACACAATCTGCAATGAGTACAGAGATTATGTTCTGTACTTGTAATGTGTTTGTATAATCTCAAATATATTAAGGCATGAAACTTTTGGAAGCAGGTGTTATGTGATGTGGACAGTGGAAAGGAGTTCATATTGTGTGAATACAACAGAGATGCTGACTCTTACAGGTAAGCACTTTACCATTCTTATAATTGTACCAGGATAGATTAATAATGTAATATGCCTAAGAGGAGGTAACCTTAACTGATTATGTTGTCGTTTTAGAGATGATCTTTCATGAATTCATAGATGTGTGTATAGGATTTGTGAATATTTGCTGCTTCAAGGACTTCTGTTGCTGGAAATCATGGAAAGCACTGTTGGATTTTTAACAAAAGAAGCAATTATTACGCACTAGTGCTTTGCAATTTGCATGACCGTAACTTTTGCACATATATACTTTATGGTTTACACCATGCGCGCGCGTGTATGTAGTTTATTTTGCTGATATTTAAGTATACTTGTGAAGTTGGTACTGGTTTTGCTGGTGTCATTTGTATGGCATATGTTTTCCCATGTTATAGGGCCATAATTTCAAGTTGTATCGCATCACAGGGCATTGATTCTTTTGGGGTGTGTTTGTGATCCATGCTTATGCTTGTGTATGTATTTGTGTTCTCGAATTGAAATCAACCTTAAGTTTCGATCAGTTTCGCTTTTCTTCTTGTAGATCACCTTGGTCAAATAAATATCATCCTCCGCTGGAAGATGCACTCTATCCATCTATAGCGTTGAGGAAACTGGAATTGGAAGCAAATGAAGTCTTTTCCGTCTATCGTGACCAGTGAGGTCCTTTACTTACCTCGTCTTTAGTTAATTTTTTGTTTTTTCCAGTTGCAATTTTCATATAGAAGAGTTTCTAACTATAGAACTTCTTTTGACTTGTTCTTTTTCAATCGATTTTGTAGTTAACACAATAATTTAGTGTAGAGGAAAATCCTATATATGCCTTTTCTGACTGTTGCCAGTTTTCATTGTTTGATCTTGGAATAAAAATATGTGCTCTTTCCTTTTCACTCAAATGTTTTTCAAATGGATGCTCCTACTTTTCCCAGTGAAGTTTTTTCTGTGTCTGTTATATATTCAATGCTGCCAAAAGGTTTAGCAGTCTGATCAACTAGTAAGCTGGTAGGTATTATGAAGGTGGCATCTCATCTGTTTACATGTGGGAAGATGATAATGAAGGTTTGGTGGCATGCTTTTTGATTAAGAAAGGTGAGCATTTCTTCCTAAATTAGCACTCAGAAAACAAAGTTTAATGTCTCTGACCGGATTGCCACTACTTTGAGGATTAAGATGGCTCAAAGACTGGGCATGGCAGAAGGGGTTATCTGCAAGAGGGAGCATGGGATGCCATTCATGTTATTGAGGTAAGCTCCTAGCAGGGGCTAGAATACATGAGATGCCCCACCTTCCTTCGTGTTCTTTCCAAAATTTCTTTATATGTAACCGTATTGCTCATTATTCTCCTATGCCTGCAACTTTTTTTTGTTGGTTAGGTGGGGCAACAGGAGGAAGGAATAACTCGTTATTGTTTGACAAGTACTATTATGCTGTCTTTAACTACAGATGATGAGTCATCTGGCACATTCAGTCTCTCAGGTTCTCTTAGACGACAGGTAATTTATCTATCATATCTTGTCTCCTTACTTCATTCCTCTCCTCTCTCAGCTTAGAAGAGAGAGGTTTTCCTTTCAAGTGTTGATCAATTGATGAAACTCTTTCCGAACAAGTTGTGTGGAGAAAATATTTTTGAGAAATGACACTTTTCCTGATAATGGGAAATTCATATTTTGCTATTGAGTGCTAACAACTCCTTTGGATGGTTGGGTTAATAGACGTTAGATTTTTGGGAGAGGTTTGTTTTTTTTTCCCCTTGTGATAAACAGGATTCATTATGCCTCTGGTGTGTGAACTTTGTATCCATTGGATGGTTGAGTCTTGCCTTTTTTTACCCATTAAATTTTGATGAGCTTGAGGTGATGGATAGAAGTTACCCATTCATTCCTCGTAAGCAATAGACTTTGGCATGTTCCAGGTGGAGTTTATTTTCTCAATTACAAATGATGGGTCACGAAGTGTCTTGTTCTTCATGAAAACTGAATATTGCTTCCTACTTTAATGGGCACTATTACAATCAGTTGTTTGCATCGCTGATTGTGTGAACTTAGGAGTGTCAGCTCATATGCAAGTTCTATAGTGTCCTCCACAATACCCATGGTATGTAATAGATGATTCATGAACTTAGGAGTGTCAGCTCATATGCGAGTTCTATAGTGTCCTCCACAATACCCATGGTATGTAATAGATGATTCATGAACTTAGGAGTGTCAGCTCATATGCGAGTTCAGTTCTATAGTGTCCTCCACAATACCCATGGTATGTAATAGATGATTCATGAACTTAGGAGTGTCAGCTCATATGCGAGTTCTATAGTGTCCTCCACAATACCCATGGTATGTAATAGATGATTCATGAACTTAGGAGTGTCAGCTCATATGCGAGTTCTATAGTGTCCTCCACAATACCCATGGTATGTAATAGATGATTCATGGGAAATGATTTAAAATGCATAAGAAAGCTATATTTTGAGTAAATTCCAACTTTGTGGTAAAGTAGCAATGCGTCCTTTTATAATTTCAAGTAATTGCAGCTATCCTTTTGTATGGAGGTGGATTTGTATGTGCATGTGCCCATGTACATTGCTTTTAATTCAACTCAGCAGTTGATTTGCCATTGTCTTCTGTAGATGAACATGGACCTCTCAACTGCAGAAGGTCATCTTTGTAACATGGGAAGGATGATAGAAGAAATGGAGGGTAAGCTGAGGAACTCATTAGATCAGGTATGTTGCTCCTACCATTAACTTCATTAACTTGTGAAATTACTGTACAGTGAGTTATCCAACTAGTTACCAGTTCTGGTCATTGGCACTGTAGCATATTGGTCAAGTACTTCATAGAGCATGGCCTGAAGGCCGTGTTTGGCCTGCCAGAACTGGAAAGGGAATGCAAATCTTGGACTATAGTATGATTTTTTTCTATTGGCTTGGTTCGCAAGAACATTGATTTTTTTTTTTTTTTTTTTTTTGAACATGATTTTTTTTTTTTTTTTTTTTATGTTTTATAACTGATTTTTTTTTTTTTTTTTTTTATGTTTTAATAACTCTAAATTTTATTGAAATAATGTACACTTTTTGGCAAAATTCATAATCTAAACAATGCATTTTTTAGTTGAGAAATAAACCTGCAATAGGATTCTTTGAACTTAGATATCCATTTCCTTTCCCATTCCCATTCCCATTCCAATTTGAAGATGAACCATACAAATCCCAAATTTTCCCGTTCTTCAGGATGTCAAGTTGACATATTTGGAGCCTCAGTAATTGAACCATCTTATTACAGGTTTATTTTGGGAAGACTAAAGAGATGGTTTGCACTTTACGACCACCATCTGAAGTCGTGATGAGACTAACGAACAGCTGATCATAAGGCCGATGGTAACTGAAGATAAATTCGTTCTATCTCGATAACTTGCATTACAGTGTGATTTGTGGAGGATATATGTAGATTTCTCATCTCTTTCACCTTTACTTGAATCATCATGTAAACTTTGTGCGGAGTTTGTCGTTTCATTGTAAACCGAGTTTGTTCCTTTTGCACAGGAGACTGATCCTTTTTGTGTTTTTGCCAAGACATCATTTGGATCAGTTTTCATGTACTGTTTCTCTATTTGAAACATTGTTGGATATACGGTTGGGTTGAGTTAGATTTTGAACAATTTCAATTTGGGGTTCTGCATCGGTTTACTTGGACTTTTCTGAGTTTTAACTGGTTTCCTTGGTGTCTGGTAAAATTAAGATTATTCACGACGCTTAAAGCATCTTGAATACAACCATGAATTGTGGCTGATATGTTTTAATAAATAGAAATTGTGGATGGTGATATGACTCGATGTGTATTAGTAAATGTTATATTTTAAAAATGGTTCTCTAATACATGAAGAGGAAATCACTTTCAGGGTAAGAAAAAATTTGAGCGAAAATAAAAGAAAAGGCATAAAGGATAAAAATAGAAAGTGTGATAAACAATGTCTCTTTTTTTTTTACACATCAGACTCTCTGAAAATAGAGAGTGATAAATAAAGTATTTTTTTTCCTTTTTGATACATCAGATTGTAGAAGATTTTTGTTTTTAACTTTTTAATTTTTTAAATTTGGAAAATAAATTAACGTAATCAACAGTTATATTGAAGATGCCCTTAGATTTCATTTGATGGGGTCTTTTGGAAGTTTTTGAAGGTAAGAAAAGATTAAATTATTAGATTGAGAAGAAAGTTAAAGGTACTTCTATGGTTTTTTGAGGGTTAAAAACCTTTAAATTTCGTCAGATCTCAACTTACCAAATTTTGAAGTTGAGAAAGGTTTAAATTTGTTGCTTTTCATCAAATTTAATTTAAAAAGAATTATCTTAATATTCATAAATACATATTTTCTTAAAAACAAGGTTTAATCAATTTATATATTTATAACTTTTATGGGAGTCTTTTTGTAATCTCTTGTATTATCTTACTTTTAAATACTTTCAAATTTAATAATATAATCCTATAATCATCTCCAAAAAAAAAAAAAAAAAAAAAAATCCTATTAAACATTTGATTTAACTTTCCCTTTCAAATAAAAAAAAAAAAAAAAATCCTATTAAACATTGATTTACTTTCCTTTCAAATTATTAAAAACTTCATTATCATGTGGCGTGATATTAAGTTTTATGATCAATGCACATGATATTTGAAAAAAATAAGAACAAAAATAATATCTATACTTAAAAATAATAAAAATATTTAAAATGGAAAAAGAAAATCAGAAGCCCAAAACTAAAAGCTCTCAACCAGAACCAAACCCCAAACCAAGGCTTTTGAATTTCCATGTCTACGCCTTTTGCTGCAAAATCTGATCCAAAATCTAATTGATCTCCATCCATACAAATGGAAAAATAAAGAGTACCAAGTTATGTGATAAAAAGAATTAGGTGAACTCATCATATCCGATGATAAATGGCATCTCAAAAAAATCTTCGAATGCAAATACAAATGCAATTTGGAATTGCAGAGCATATAATGATAAGGTCATCCCAAAAGGCCAAAACCAATCACCAATCCCTAATATTAGCAATATTTAAAGCCAAAATCTATATGGGCTGCTACGATAATAAGAGCATCTTTGAAGTATTGGATACATCTTATGAAAATGATCAAGTTTTCTTGATATCAAGTTCTTCACTACCATACGCTGCTGCTTCTTCCTCTGCTGAATGTGCGTGTGCGTCTCCCACACTATCCTCTTCTGTCTCCCTGTCATCACTATCCTCATCTACAATGGTGGTAAGGCACTTTAGATAAATCCAAATTAAAATAACATATTGAATATTCCACTCCAGTCCAGTAGATATAACATGGCTATACGTGCAAATCATAAGCACTTACCATCATTTGAGCTGGCAGCTGCCCTGACCAAGCCTTCACGAACACTCGTAGCCTGAAATAAGGAGAAACAAGTGGCAATAATATAGTGTGTGTCCAGGAATTATTAGAGAAGTGAAAACATCAAAACATCTTCAAGATGATTCCGCTACTTACTGAGAAGTCAAAATCAAATTCCATACCAGGCGGTGCTCGAACTAACACCAAAGGAAAAAAAGGTAAAGGTTGTTAGTCCAAGGATCATTCAAGAATACATGATAATTTGAGTTGAGACTCACGTCTCTTTGCAACTTACTCTTCTTCTTGGACTCATTTACCCCAATCAACAGTTAAAAACACAGGAGGTTTTCCCTTCTGTTTCAGCAATCTGCTCCACCATTTTCTTTCTGCCCTCTTCACAAGGTAGCAGATATTTCTCAAACCAATATTAGCCTTGCTCTCTTGCAAATCTCGTAAAGTCATAATGGTACCCTCCATATGAACTAAACAATGCACATGAAAGACCGAGTGCAGAAATGCAATAAGAAAGAAACTTACTCCACATTAACCTTGTCTAAAAGATCAAGCTCAACTTCATAAGGTATCTTATCAACTCCACTGGTCGCAGAGAAGGAAAATTTTCCTTCAGGCTCCAGTTTAAGTTTCACATCCTGTGCGTCAGGCAGCTCAGCAGTGATCAACAGCTTATCAGACATCTGGGCCCATTTCATAGAAGGATGTCGACTGAAAATCGGATGTTCAACAGAAGTTTTAAATACAAAGACAAAAAATCGACTGAAAATCGGATCGTTCAACAGAAGTTTTAAATCAAAGACAAAAAAAAAAAAAAATATATATATTATATATATTATATATATATATATATATATATATATATATATAGCACAGAGACTGATCAGCAGTATCAGATTAAATGTTTCAATATCCTATACATGGTTAAAGAGCACGATGACATTGAAGAAAATAGAAAAAAGCAACATTTCTCTTATTGTTTATAAGAGAAACAAAGTCATTAAGTTTGCCAAGCAGCTGTTTCACTAGAATCAACACTCATCCTACTGAAGCTTCATATCATCTAAAACTCCTCCACATCTATGGTTGAAGGTTCAATTTAACAACTTACATGAAAGAATATTTATGAATTTGTGCCCAATCTTAACAAAACAAGGATTTAACATCACTGTTTGTGTTCCAAATTTTTCTTTTTCAAACATAAAGGTGAGTTGCGAGAAGTTAGAAACATGAAGGCAGGAAAGAAAGGATGCCATGGAGTTGGACTATAATAGTTAGCTGGGTGTAGCAATGACATTTTGATATAGGTACGCAAACAAAATCAGAGATGTACAATACCAAGAAACCTATTACTGATGGGTAACAATCCTGTTACTTGTGAAATATCTTGAATCCTGCCTTGCGTTCTTAAATTCCAAACGATTCCATCTCTATTTACGTTAGTTACTACATGATGCAATAAAATTATTCACAAACTATGCATGTACAGTCAAATGTTCAACACTCAGCCTCAGAAAATAGCATTTACTCAATAACATGAAAAACAGGACCTACAGCCGTTGCATGTGCTACCGAATAGGTAAAACATAGGATGACAATTTACGGGCTAAGTATATGAGTAACAGTTATAATTTCTCGTCAACCGTTAATTTTGCAACATTCAAATCCAAGAATGAACAACAAACATTATTTGCATATAAATCATATGCCATTATAAAGAATTACAAGAACCAAAAGCAAAAATTGGACAAAAAATCTTATGGCTCTCATCTCATGCCAACAAGAGATGTCGCAAAGAGGAATGCTATTTGATCCATACAATTGGACTCGCATGAATCAAAGGAATTAATGTGCATTGCAAATCACCACTCACGCTCTCTTTTCATTTCCTTTGGTTACCAACCATGGGTGTTGATGATCAGTGTACTTTCCTTTTATTCATGTGACTATAATTTGTCACAATGGCAATAACATATATTGGTGGGTAAAAAAAAAGTAGCATCACTCCGTTGCAAAAAAAAAAAAAAAAAAAAAAAAAAGTTTTGCAAAAAAAAAAAAAAAAAAAAAAAAAAAAAAGTCTAAAGTCAGCTCTGCGCAAAATTTTTCACAAATTTTCACTCTCTAAAACCTCGTTGCTTCTCTTTCTTTCTTCCATTTTCTCAGCAACCAAATGGAAAACAAGGGAAACTAAAACCAAAAACCCTAGTCCTCTGTTTGGTTACAAAGAAATCAGCGGGAAAACCGAAAAAGAAAACGTAAATTAAACACGAACAAGCAACCTGAACACAAAAACACGATAATAGCCTTTAGACATCTACTATTAGTACACTCCAGCTTCCATTTTGTTTTTTCACAACATTTCGTCTCTAACAAAATATATGTATTAAAAAATACAAATGAAGCATATTTCTTTTCTTTTCTCTCATTCCGAGTAACCAAAGATAAAAACGAAAAAGAAAAAGGAAAAAAAAAAAACTCCATAGCACAACAAGATTTAGGGTTTGACTCTTGAAGCAGAAGTTCTAAGGCAATCAACCGAAATGTAAAAGAAAAAAGGACAAAAGTATCACGACAGAGAAAACCTCATTTTAGCGTCCCTGAACTTGCTTCGCAGTCGCTGCAGAGAAGAAAGACGAGAGAATGTGTATACAGCTATACTACAGCACAAAAAGATTTTTGGCGTTGAATATTATATTCTTCTTTATTGAGAGGTCAAAGGGAAATGTAGTGGGTCTGGATGCTTCCTTTTCAAGTACCGGTAGCCACGTGGCTTTTTAGGGGTGGATATAATTTGGTCCAAACCAAAAAAACTGAAACGAACCGATTGGTTCAGTTTTGCAAGTTATTGCTTTGGTTTCGGATTTTATAGAAAAATGAAGATTTTTTGGGTTGAAGGCAAAATTGAAAATCTAAAATCCTAATGCTTTGATTGGTGTAATTGTATTCAAATATGAAATTCATTTGTGAATAAATTTTTATAATTTATATGATTAATTTAAAATATATAATTCAATTGACTTCTATGTAATCATGTATGAAATAAATTTATAATTAAGTTTATAATTGAAAATTTATTTACTTTTGTTTCCTAAAATATTTTTGAAATAGTAATTTCACAAAAATAAATAATAAATACCAATTATCTTTATATTTTTATTAAAATAAATATATAAAACAAAATTAATATTAATAAAATTATTGTATTTAATGTAGTGATAAATGTATATTTAATTTGAATATCTCTGCCAATAAAAAAAATGCTAAAAATATTGTCACGACCCATTTCCGTGGGCCGGACCGGCACTAGGGCCCAGGTAAGCTTAAGGCCCCCGAGGCC